ATGCCTTGATTTTTGAGTATACCAAGGATCATTAGGATTTGTTTCCCTCAGGCTTTTTCAAAAGGCCTTTAGTGTTGGTTGACTTCCTCTACTCTGCCTTCCCATCCCCCCATGTCAATTAACCCTCCCTGTTCTGTCTCATTATTCCCACTGGTCCCTTTTGAAACTTTTTCCTTATCCCAGTTTTTTTCAGACAGACACTCATGGCTACACCATTTGCCCCTCCCTTCAAAGATCCACTCCTCTCCCGTGACCCTTACTAGTTTTCTAAATACAAAGGAAATACACACATATGAAGATCCAGGGTTAACAGCCACATGTGACAGAAAAATATGATACAAATTGGTTTTACTGGGTCTGCATTACCTCACTCAAGATGATTAAATATCATCTTGTTCCATCTACTTACCTCTGGGTTTCATAACAGGCAGAGAAAGTGAAGTCATCTCTTAGGTGGGCATCACCCTGACCTCAGCTCAGTGCAAGACAGGAAATGAATAGAAGTGCCTGAATAAGGACAAGCAACAGAGAAGCTTTATTCTTGTCAATCAGGTCACAGGAAGGGAGGTCACTTTTTGTGTAGCACTGCCTGTCTTTGATGGACAGGAATGACATGTAACTTTTGAGTGTCAGATTTTCTTTGTCAGGATAAAGTAACTACAAAGAGTCCTTAGACCGAATCTGAGTTCAGCATGAAATAGAAGTGTGACCATTAGTGATGGCCATGTTCATTTCTAGATTTGTCAAGAAAGTATTGTTTTTTCTTTTTCCGTATTTTTTATTTAACTTTTTGTACATGTCACTCTCAGTTCCCTCTCCCTCCCCTCCTCCCCCACACCCCAATCCTCCCAACCTTTTGCCTTCACTCCATCCCCCCTCTGCTCCCCAGAGAGGGCAAGGGCTTCCATGAGGGATTTTCAGAGTCTGTCACATTGTACAGGGAAGGGCCTAGGTTCTTCCCCATATGTCCAGGCTAAGAAAGCATCCCTCCATGTGGTTTGGGTTACCAGAGTCCATCTGTATGCCAGGAATAAATACTGCTCTACTCTCCAAGGTCCCACAGATTGCCAAGGCCTCCTCTCTGTCACCCAGGTTCGGTGGGATGATATCTAGATCAGTTCCATGCTGGCCCCTCAGTCATCAGTCTTGGGTCCATGTGTTCCTCCTTGTTTAGGTCAGCTGCCTCTGAGGGTTTCACCAGTCTGAGCTTGATTCCTTTGCTCATCACTCTTCTTTGCAACTGGTTTCCAGGAGTTCAATTCAGTTCACAGCTGTGGGTGTCTGCCTCTACCTCCATCACCCACTGGATGAGAGTTCTAGGATGGCATATAAGGCAGTCATCAATTTCATTATCATGGGAGGGCATTTAAGGTAGCCTTAATGCCAGTTGGATTCATTCTTGTAGATCTGTGAAGATCTCACTAGTGCCAGATCTCTCCTCTAACTGATAAAGGCTCCCTCTTTTATGGTATCTCCCATCCTTTTCTCCTCTATTCTTACCAAGAGGAGGACATGGGAAAGTGTTGATTTTTTTTAAAATCAGCTAAAACTAGTTCCTTGTCCCAGTTTTCTCAGACAGACACCGGTGGCTACACCATTTGCACTTCTACTGGGGGACCATTAACTCTCAGTAGCTTGTTCTCCTCCTTTAGGAACTTCCACATTTCAATTTGTAAAAAAAGGAAACAAATTAATTAAATTGTTTCTTATATTTTTACTTAACAAAATTTACAACTAGTATATCTACTGTAGAGCTAGTTGGTGTAGCAGAACCCCCCCTTTTCTTGTAGCAAACAGAAAAAAAATGTTTTGGTCACTAGATGCTTCTTTCATTATTTTGAACAGAATAGTTGACTGGAGAGAGATGTGATTTACAGAGAGGACTCTTCTTACTTTGCAGAGCTGGTATGGGAATCAGGCTCTTCACCAAGTTCAAGGTGTTATCAATACTATCATATTTCCTGAAGATGTACTTGGCCACAGTGGTGGATCATTTGTTATTGTTGTTTCTTCTAGTTCTTTATTTTTTTCTCCATAGGTTAGTCCTCAGTTGGAGGAGAGCTAAATTGTATATGCACCAAAGAATCATTTTGGAGCAAATTTATGACTTCTCATCAATAAATGTTTGATTTGTAGATCTGTTTTATATATTCCTATAACTGGGGTCATAAGCTGGGCAAGCTTTCTGCCACTGAGCTCTATCTCCAGGCCTCCTTATACTTTTTTTTTTTTAGGTAGAGTCTTGAATTCTCTCTATCCCAGGCAGGATTTGAATTTGTGAGCCTTGCTGTTTAGCCTCTCAGGCAGCTGGGGTTCTAAGCTCTTTGCACTATCTCAGCTGGAACTCAACCTTAAAAGCTCTATTTAAGAAACAAGCTCTCCTAGACTGCCTTTGCCTAAAAAGAAAACCCTAAACCCCAAACAAAACACTGACTTTTGGCTTGCAGATGCCCAATGGCTAAGTAAAAGCAAGACAAAGCTTGACTTCTTTGCAATTGCTTTGTGCCTGTCTCCTTTAGTTGGGTTCAGTTCAGGCTCAGCTCTGCACATGCCCATGGTAATCACTTAAGGAGTGCATGGGTGGGAAACAGTGGTGTGGGGCAGATAAACTCCAGTCGCCTACCTCACTGCCTCCTTCAGGACTGAAGGCACCAAATAGAAGGACGTGGGACATTTGGCTTTTTAAAAAGCCTGTTCGTGGGACCCCTTACATGGCACTTGGAACTCTCCAGTCATTTCCTTAAACCTCATCACCTTGGATTCCAAACAAGAAGCCTGGCTGACAAATCATTGTGAGACTGGCTCTCAAGTGGGAGAACAATTAATTGCCTCATGAGAAGATCCCACATGGCCTTGGTAAGGAGAGATGATCTCTCCGCAGAAACAAATTGCCTTCTCAAGGGACCCAGAGACAGTGAGATTTTCCTGAGCCATCTCAGAGTCAGAGTACAGACAATGATCAAGCTGACCATAATCTGATCTGAACCGTTTAAGCATGTATCTTTTTCCATCCTTCAGTGTTTTCCTGTATCGCAGAGCTCAGATGTGCAGCATCTTCCCATGTAGTTATGCTGGTTAGCTATGTTTCCTGTCTTTCCGTCGTTGATTTTCGATTGAACTTCTGGGGAAAGCAACAACTTTGTTGGGATCCCCTAGAAGTGGAGTCGCTGCCTAGGACTCCAGTGAAATATACCTTTTCTATTCATTTTGTTGTTGTTCTCAGCACTGACTAGCATTTAGTTGTGTCATCTGTGCCAGGTGACATGCTCCCTTGGTTGACCTCCCTATGAAATAACTTTGAAAAGTTACTTTGGACTCTCACACTACTCCTTTTTCCACTCTCTAAGCATGGAAATCTTGGCATGTTGAGAATTTTCAGCAAACACGTCTGGAGAAATGGCATTCCAATGCTATTGTGTTTGGCTGAGTGCAGTGAATAATACATTCTATTGAGTGAGTTTTTCTAAAGGCAGGCATGCAGAAAAGTTAAAATTCTTAGGATGAGGCTATTTCCCCTCAAGTTTACCAATAAAACCTGTGTACTTAGCAGGGATGGACAATAGTTAAGAATCTCTAGTTAAGTCAAGGAATTGAATTTTACCAAGTGAAGAAAGTTGTAATTTGGACATATCTAAACCTACCTGATGATTGGAAGCTTCCTATTAGCTTTTGAAATTCTATAACATAACTGTCATTCATTCCATAATTGGAGAAGGGATTTATCATGAAAGTATCCCAATGAGTAACAAATATGTAAATATAAATTTGTGATATTTAATGACTGGTCTTTCATAAGGAGGCAAGAGAAGACCCTGATGACCAGGAGATATTGCCCACAGGATTGCCTTTGAAAGGAAAGACCCTAATTGATGACAGAATGTGATGTTTCAATATATGCCTCTTCCACAAATGGATATATTTCTTTTTTTTTTAAGGGCCAAAGTTTTTTTTTATTTTTTTTTCAATTTTTAAATTTAAATTAGAAACAAGGTTGCTTCACATGTCAATTCCAGGTCCCTCTCCCTTTCCCTTCCCTCCTCCCATGCCCTCCCACCAACCCCCCCAATACCTCCTCCTTTCTCCAGGGAGGATGAGGCCCTCCATGGGGGTGCCCATAGTCTGTCATTTTGTTCAGGGGAGGGCCTAGACCCTCCCTCAGGAGTCCAGGGTGAGAGTGCATCTCTTATTATTGGATGGGCACCAGAAGTCCATTTATATGCCAGGGATTAATACTTATCTACTACCCAAGGCCCTATAAATTGCCTAGGCCTCCTCACTGACACCCACATTCAGGGGGTCTTGATCAGTCCCATGCTGGATTCTCTGCCATCAGTCTGGGATTCAAGAGCTACCCCTTGTCAGGTCAGCTGTTTCTGGGGGTTAAACCAGCCCAGTCTTAACCCCTTTGCTCATCAGCCCTCCCTCTCTGTCACTGGGTTCCTTGAGTTCAGCTCAGTGTTTAGCTGTGGGAGTCTGCCTCTGCTTCCATCAGTCATTGGATGAAGGTTTTGTTTTCCAGACTCTCCAGCCATGGGATTATAGGCTGGCACTCCCCAGATCTGTATCTAAAATCCATATATGAGAGAATACATACCATGTTTGTCTTTTTGTGACTGGGTTACCTCACTCAGGATGCTTTCTTCTAGTGCCACCCATTTGCCTGCAAATTTCAGAATTCCATTGTTTTTTTCCCACTGAGTAGTACTCCATTGTGTAAATGTACCATATTTTCTCTATCCACTCTTCAGTTGAGGGGCATCTAGGTTGCTTCCAAGTTCTGGCTATTACAAATAATGTTGCTATGAACATAGTGGAACAGATGTCCTTGTTGTATGAATGTGCATCTTTTGGATATATGCCTAAGAGTGGAATTGCTGGGTATTGTGGTAGGCTGATTCCCATTTTTCTGAGGAATCTCTATACTGATTTACAAAGTGGCTGTATGAGTTGGCACTCCCACCAACAGTGGAGGAGTGTCCCCTTTTACCACATCCTCTCCAAAAAATATGGAACACTTCACGAATTTGCATGTAATCTTTGCTCAGGGGCCATGCTAATCTCTGTATTGTTTCAATTTTTGTATATGTGCTGCCGAAGCGAGCACATGGATATATTTCTTAGATGTCAGTCGTCATTTGTTAATGATTCCCTCCAAATCTCCATGCACAGGTATCCATGCCTAGTAACACCTAGAGAAATGTGGCTCTCATCTCCAGGTGGCAAAGGGACTCTTAAATCTTAAAGTGTGTGGACCAGCAGATGTAGAGAAAGCTTTTTGTCTCTTTCCACCTCCCGTAAACACAAAAATAAATTCTGCCTTTTATAAAGAAAAATTAGCATTTATAAAGAAAGTTTTCATCTATAGAGGTGTCTGCCTACCCAAAAGCGAGCTATCCTTTTCTCACAGAGGAAACTCTTACTACTAGCCTCTTTCCCACCAACTGGGATGATTTTTGTTTACCACACATCCCCTCCCATTCTATCTCCAACTTATTCCCCTGTCAGGAAGACTCACCTGCTCTTCTTTCTTTAGCATAAGATGGTACATTCACTGCATCACTGGCCAGCTGCCCTGAGCCTCAATTCTTTCACAACGGCAAGTGCCTAATTACAACCTTTTGTTTTGTTCACTGTATTATCTCTTAAATTCTACTGGTAGTGAAGCTCAGTTGATATGGTACAGTTTCTTTTTTTCCAAGACAGTTTATCTTTTATAATTTTACTAGTCTTATATTTAATATAAGGTGACAATGTACTATTTAAACAGAATAAGGGTTGTGTTGATAACAAAAATAACTAGGTGAAAATAACTGTGTCCTGACTATATACAATTATTTTTGATGACAGGCTAAAGAAATGAAATTTCTTTTAGGTGGAGTCCCTTTTTATTTAATGTTAAACATGACTTGGTTAAAATTCTAATTGGAGCTGGACATTGGGTAACACACCTGAAGGCTGAGGCTATAGGATGCAAGCTTGAAGCCAGGTATAGCTACACAATGGGCTTAAGGCCAACCTATATCTAAAGAAACACCCTTCTTTAACAAACAAGCAATAGAAAAATGAAGTTGAATTTGACAGGCATGCTTTATTGTGTACAGTGTCGGTCACTAGCACATCTAAATTCTAAACATCAGAGAATCTCATCTGGCATTGTTCTAGGGAAGAAATGAGGCTGTGTCAGCTGTCAGGAGAAGGATTCCATTATTTCCTCTCTCTGTACTTCTGACACCACTTGAATCTATTATTTCTCTCCAGGCCCCTGCCATATTTTTTTGTGAGATTTTCTGTGAGATCCTCATTAGGATAGCTGGTTCTGAACCTTCTCCTTTCCTAATGCACAATGGAGAAACTAGTTTTGGTGTTCCACACAGCTTCAAAAACCGAGTGCTTGGAGCCATGCACAGAAGCCATCTGTCAGTCATATAAATCTCCTAGTGGCCCAGCTCCAGATGGAGTAGAGATGGTGAACTTCACTGTGGGTGGAATCACTTTTCTAGGTGCTGATTCATTTTCTGTAATCGTATGCAAACTGTCTCTGTACTAATAGCACTATCACTTTCTGGCTGTTACCCAAGCCTGATTATCAAAAAGATTGCCTTTCATTGAAATATGAATCACTTCTTTCAAGTCTACACTGTGAGTTTAGAGATGATGTTTTCCTCATTTGTTTTGAAGGGGTTCTGGCAATGGCCCCCAAAGGATGGCATTTTGATGTAAGAATTGTTTGGAGCAAAAGTAACTACAAAAGAAACATTTAAGAAAAAGACTCTGATCATTTACTTTCCCATAACAAACTTAAGGGGCATTTTTCTCTCTACATTCCTAGGTCTCCAACTTAGGCCCTAGGAAGACAATGGATAAAAGGCCCATTAACAAAACAAAAAGTCAGTGGCTTGGGACATGTCACTATTAAAGTTCTTGCCCCACCAAGTATGAGGACCTGAGTTTATATCCCTAGGACCCAGGCCAAAGAACTAAGTGTGGTCGTCAACATCTGGCATTCCCATGCTGGGAATGCAGAAGTATACAGATTCCAGGGCTCAGTTGCATGCATATTTCTTGCTGGCCATCCAGGCTAACCACCAGGTTCAAAGAAATCTAGTCCTAAAAAACATGTAGAGCAATAGAGAAAGAGAGTTAATATGAACCTCTGGCTTCTACAAGCACACACACACTGGTAGGGGTGGAGGAGATGGGGGAGTGGGGGTGTGAATGTACACTCTTACCCATGTGCACACCACAGGTGTGTACAGACACATATACCACTGTCTTAGGGTTAGTATTGCTGTGATGAAACACCATGACCAGAGCAATTTGGGTAGGAAAGGGTCATTTGGGTTACATATCTTGAGACACTGCTTATTTAGTGAAGCCAAGGTAGGAAGTCAAACCAAGCAGGAACCTAGAGACAGGAGCTGATGCAGAGACCACAGAGGGATGCTGCTTACTGACTTGCTTCCAGTGGATTACTCTGCCTGCTTTCTTATAGAACCCAGGACCACCAGCTCAGAATGGTACCACTAATAGTATATGTACCCTCCCATGTCAATCACTAATTTAAAATAATGCTCTTCAGGCTTGCCTGTAGCCCAGCCTTATGGAGACAATTGGAGTTCCGTCCTCTTAGATGACAACAACCAGTGTCAGGTTGACACAAAACTAACCAGCATAACCACAAGCACGTCCAAAGAAAAAAAGAGAAAAACAGCTTGCTTATTTATTACATATGTGAGTTTCACAAAGAAATGAGAATTGTTAGGGAGGCAGGGGAGTACAGAAGATTGAGGATTAAATGAATGAAAAGCAGTCCAGTGCTTCTGGATGGAGGTGGCAAAGGTGAGGTTGGAGACAGGAGGCCTCGTGGCCACCTGTTCTTTCTCAGTTACCTTCAGATTAGAATAATCCATTTCCCAAAGAGACATGTTTACATAGAGCATCTTTCTGGTAGCCTTCAGCATCAAGGGACTGATAATTGTTGATAGCTATTCAGTTATTGAGAATATTTTTGAAACAGTGCTTAAATCAGAGACAAAAATGGACTGACTGAAAAAAGAGCTTTCCCAGGAATTTCCAACACTAATTTTTTATCCTAAGAATTCTCCCTCACATTTTCAGTTGCCTGAGGTCAGTTGTAGTTTGCAAATATTAATATTTATTTTGGCCAGTTCAGGAAGGAGATATGATGGTTTGGGATGTGACTTAGTAAGGGCAGCACTTACCTAACATGCCTGAGACTGAGTTTGCTCCAAGAACATGAAAGTAAATAGTTTTAAGTGGAGACTCTATATTCATATAACTTTTCTATTTTATTATGTTAAAAGACAAAAATTACAATTTGGATCGTAGATCTTAATTGGCTTTATCCTCCCTCTCGCTCTCACTATGTGTGTGTGTGTGTGTGTGTGTGTGTGTGTGTGTGTGTGTGTGTGTGTGCATGTGTGTGTGTGTGTGTGTGTGTGTGTTGCTGGGAATTGAAACCAAACCCTTATGGATATTAGGCACGCATTCTGCCACTGAGTCATACCATATAAAGCTTGAAGCATAGTTTGGTATTCTAGCCCTGTAGCCTGCCCCTTGTTTCCTTACCCACATCTATTAATACATTCCTAAATCCACTTGTTCCTTGGCGTCTCTGGGGTACCGGGACCCTCTGCTGATAACAAGACCAGTGGGGGCTCAAACCCTTTACGTAAAGGGCATGGTATGATTCTTACATATAACCTACTTATGTCCTCTATAAGCTATCTCTTGCTTGCTGGTGGTACCAAATACAATGTAATGTAAGTTCTATACTGTGTTGTAAGTGCTACACTCTGTTGTTTAGGAAGCAATGACAAAGATTAAAATCTGGACATGTTCAGTTATTTTTCCTCAAATGTTTTGTTTTTTTTGTCTGAGCATGTGAAACCCATGATAAGGATGGCTGACTGGGGCACTTTGGAATTTTCTTGCAAACAAGGAAACCGTGCCAGGAAGGGGGAAGTCTACCTGCGTGGCTTTCCTCTTGGCACTGCTGGCTCCTGGTTCTTCAGCTGCCTGTGCTGCAGGGACCAGGCCTGAGCTGTTTGTACACCTAATTTCTCCTGTCTGTCTACCCATCTGCTTTTGCTACTGCAAAGAAGCCTCAGAAACAGTTGACATTTAGCAAATTGAGCATTGACTGAAGATACACACACTTTTTTTGTTTTATTCACTCATTTAATTTATTTATAACTAGTAATTATTAAAACTTTGTTCATTCAATATTTTTGATTATGTCATTTCTCCTCCCCATCGCCTTCCAGATCCTCCCCACCTTCCTCCCTACTCAACTTTATATTCTTTCTCTCTTTCTCTTACAAAAAAAATAAAATAAAATAAACCACGTATCTGGGCATTGGTGGTGCACACCTTTAATCCCAGCACTCAGGAGGCAGAGGCAGGCAGATCTCCGTGAGTTTGAGACCAACCTGGTCTACCTAGCAAGTTCCAGGACAGGCTCCAAAACAATACAGAGAAACCCTAAGTCGAAAAAACAAAATAAATAAATAAATAAATAAATAAATAAATAAATAAATAAACCATGTAAGACAAAAAAAATACCAAAGAAAACAAAATGTTGATTAAAGGCATGGATACTGTTTTGTGTTGGCCATCTCCTCCTGGCTATGGCCGGCCCTGGAATGTGGTTGATATACACAATGGCACTCCATTAGAGAACATGGATTTTCCCTTTCCCGGCAGGTATCAGTTGCAAACAGCTTCTCGGTTAGGGGTGGGACTTTGTGTATGCTTCTCTTCTCAGTGCTGGGATTTTTGTTGGTTTGAACCTGTTCATGTGTTACTCATCCCATCACAGTCTCTGTGAGTTAGTTCATATGTGTGTCAGTCCTGTTGTGTCTGGAAGATGCTGTTTCATAAGAGACATCCACCACCTCTGGCTAATCTTTCTGCCTCCCCTTCTATATATATCCCAGAGCTTTGAGGGGATGACTGATGGAGATATTTCATATAGAACTGAGTGTTTCAAAGTCTCTTGCTGTCTGCATTTTCCAGATGTGGTTCTCCATGTTAATTATCATCTACTGCAAGAAGAAGCATTTCTGGAAAGGGTAAAGCAGT